TTACAGGTCGGCCGATCTGGTTTCGTGGTTAAAGTTAACCTTTTCGACATGTTTCCGCAATGTTGTCTGGGGGTTTGGCAAAAGGAGAGTGGGACGGTGGGCGGTGCTCGGGATGGTGACTGAAGGCGGTGACTGTGTAGTTGTGATGTCAACTTTTTACGGAAGTCACAACGGTTCGTGAAAAATCACAGCTACTTTAAGCAGGCTGTGTGAATTTTACTGTGGACTGACTGTTTTTGAAACTTAAAAGGTAGTTACATAGCACCTAGACCTCAGTTATCATGAAATAATGATATTTTATCATTTTACTTTATATTTGCTTGTATGTTTTGAAGCTTCCGAAACTCAGTATTTTAACAGCTAAACTAGGTCCAGAAGCTAGTTCACATTAGTCACAATACAGGAGAAACACAGATATGTTGCTATGAGGCTGCTAGGCTATGCATAGATATGGCTTGGGTCACTCCTTCAGTGTAAAAGTCTATCAGATTTTTCCACCTGTTTTATCATCTGCCATAAAAAGCATAATTGCTCAGTAAAGTAACAGCACACTTCTTGTCAACAAACCGCATGATTTGAGAGATCATTCATGTCCATCACACAAAAAATGCAGGACGCGTTATGGCCTGACATTTAATACTTGGGGTTTCTTTTTGTTCTTTTGACATTCTATAAATAGTGACTGTGTTAATCAACATTATATGGCATCCACAGGAAAACAATGACTCTAGGTGTATAATATGTTCTTGACCTAAGGTAATTTATTCCACACCTGTTTGCTATCTCCAAAATGTTTTTGAAGTCATAGAGAATATCCTTAGTCATATGCATTTCATAAAACCGAAGGGCACTTCCATGGAAATGTCAAGCATACCATGAAAAAAAATATCTCATAAAACTGCACTGCATTAGAGTGCTATACCTGATTTTTAAAGTAAATTGCATCGTTCATCCACCACACACAAGGTGTGCTCCAAAAATAATTAAAGGATTACATTTTTTTATTTCAGTTCATTTTATCATTAAGAACTTTCAAGAAAGACATGATATCTGAGCTGGTTTGCTGGTTTTAGCTATATTAGTGTTTAGCTGAGAAGCAGACCAGTCTGAGAGACCAGCCTGGGGTTTGAGAGTTTGTTTTTGTTTTCTCAGCATGGCATACACTACCTTTTTCATTATAAACACTAAACTGTCCCGACTCCCGAGCAAAGCTCAGACCTGAACCCTACTGAACACCGTTGGGATGGATTGTAACAGTGAGACTGACTGATGCTTTTGTGTACGTTTTGTCATCATTTTTGCAGCTCATTTTTGTTGCATGTAAAACTCTGAACTCAGCAAAAAATGTTGAAAATGCACAATAAACCTGTTTTTAACATCTTCTTTTGTAACAGGCTTTTATGAAGCATCATAAAAATGTTCTAAAGGTCTGTTTACGCCTCAAATGCTGTCTGAATGCACAGCGCAAGCCTAAAGGTGAGTAGTAGTAGGCTACTTCACTTTTGACAAAACTAAACTGTAAAAAAAATTCCGTAAAATTTACGGTAAAAAACCGGCAGCTGTGGTTGCTGGAATTTTACCGTAAAAAATACGGTAGCAACGTTTTAGGTTTGCTTTACCCTAGATGGTTTTGAAGTCATATACCAGGTCTTTTCACAGTTTGATACACTAGTATTTATTACTTTTAAGATCATTTCATATGAAGTCAAGCGTTGCATGTATCTTCCAATAATTCCAGGACAAAACCTTATTTCGATCCTATTTTGAAACAGTGTGATTTATTACATTCGTATCTTGCATCTGTGTTGCTGATGAGTTGAGAACTGTTAGGACTTTCAAATTTCATATTTACAAAATATTTATATTTAAGACAGCAGCAATGAGTAACACAATTTTGTATAAATATTGAGTAATCCAAACTTTACACCAACGATAAAAAATAAAATAAAATAAAAAACTGAATTGACACAGGTAAACAAGTATAAATAAGTATGGCTTTTTATTTCTCCTCTTTCCTACTAACGTTACTTGTTTCACTTCTGTTTCAGTTTTTATAACCATTTCTTACTATGTGTAAGTAAGTTGTTGTTTTTTAGCACGTAAGTTTGGCAGTGTTATTTTTTAGGATTACTGATAAACTACTGTCGTTTGATTTGTATTATTTGTATTTGTTATATATTTTAATTTTAGTTAAATTATGTCTGAATTTATTATGCCTGTATAGGTCTTTTTTTTAATACTTCAACAAACTAAATGGAAATGAAATAATATATATATATTGAATTTATAAATGCGTATGTATATACTGTATATATATGCATGTATGTGTGGTTGTACATACACATATATGTAGTTGCTTTTTTTGGTGTTTGGCTTAGTGTTATGTTAGAATCATTATTATACTCTTATACCTTTTGTTCTTTAATATTTTGAATTGTTTTTAGCTTTATTTTTTGTTTTTCATTTAAATGTTAAGTTTCGAAAATTTTGCTGTATGCATTTGTCATTTTTATTTAATTTCTTTATTTTTAAAATGTGTATAAGTAGTATTTATAAAGTTTTAGCTTTTAGTTTTGGATCTGTTTTTAGTTGTTTTAATACTACAATTGATTGCTTCTGTTGTCCTCATTTGTAAGTCGCTTTGGATAAACATTGCTTGCTGTAAAGGATTTACACAATTGTGTAACATTTATAGGTTCTGATGATCAGTTGACCCGAAATTAAACAAGGAAGACTTCAATTCAACTCTCTGTGTAGGTTCCTCAGGCAAGAACATTCATTAATTTCTTTTGTTAGCCGATCACTGGTTCTCAGTGACACATAGATCCAGATAAAGTGTGTTTACAACAGATTAATGACTATAAAATTCACTTTCAGTGTCTACGTCCCCCTCATTCATCTTTCAAACTGTGCTCTATTGTATTGGGTAATAAGGACATTTTAATCAAGCAGTGTCTGAATGTCTTGAGTTTCAATCTGTGCTGAAGCTTATTGTAAAAACACTCTTATAATATTACCAAAAACATATCTCAGTGTAATACAGAAGTACAATGTCACATTATCACTATTGAGATGCATAGAAATCATAAACACTTTATTTTGCATTTACAGTGCCTCCTTCTGCTCCACTTGTTCTTGTCTGTCCATTTTAACTTCTTCCGTCAAAGCTGCTTTCTGTCTCCGCTCCGCTTCTGTTATTGTCATTGGATGCAGCGGGAAAAATCCAGCCAATCCTACTCGGAGAAAACAAGGATAAAAATGTGAGGTATGTGCGACTGCTGTAATCATCACTAAATATTGTTATTAAAGGAAATAATGAGTGAGAAATCACATTCCTTAGGTTGATGCTCACCTAGAAGTTTGGCCACTGGTTTTGTCGTATGAGCCCCACATGCAATCCAGTACTTGATTCTTTCGTAATTGAAGGCGACAAGTTTTTCATTGTGTATGTTTGGGAGAGGGTCATATGAGCCCAGCTGCTCAATATATTTGCTGTCTCTGGCCCATTTATTATAAGCAGCCACAATGCGGTAGAAGGGTCTGTTAGTGGCACCTCCTAGTGCCAGCCTGATTACCACATGCCCACCATGATATTTTTTGAGCAGGAAAGAAGCTAAGACAAAGACATAATGCATAATGTAAGTTTCACACTGGCAATGTCACAAATATGAGACTTTAATTCAGAAGCAGTAAGACTGATCCTGGAGGCTACATAAATAAATAAAAGGTAAACCTTATTCATGTTTCCTTGTTCCATGTCGACATGTAGGCCCTATGCAGACTTTTAAGGTGTGGATTGACCTGTTTTGTGTTAAAGTTTCTTGCTTTTTATTGAAAATCAAATCACCAAAGAGCATGCCAACATATTTAAAAAGTTTTTATTATTTTGATTTATCTTTATATACATCATTTTAGTTTAGGTTTAAGAAATTTTGCTATGTGCTTTTGTAATTTGTATATTTATTTTTTATTTTCTACTTAGCTTTATTTTTCAAATAAATGTGTCTTAGAGTCTTAGAAATGTGAGTACTTAAATATATATTTTTTTAAGTCATCACCTTTATTTATATAGTGCTTTTAACAACACAGATTGTGTCACATCAGCTTTACAGTATCAAATAAGAAAATAGTGTCAATAGTGTGTAAAGTTTTATATATATATATATAGAGAGAGAGAGAGAGAGAGAAATTTGAGAATGTTTTACATGAAAATACTATTTTAATCAGAATACAGAGCCCATCCACAAAACCTTCAGACACACCACTGATCAATTTAATTAGGCTTTACATAACTTTTCCAACCCTCATAAGATTTTAAAATACTTGTGTAGCAGATTAACTACATTTATATTGAATTGAAACTTCATAGTCCGAACAACATGTTCTAATTCACTTACATATGTAATTTAAAAATATCGAGAAAAAAAAAAAAAAGCTCATTCTTTTGATTGATCATTTTTGATTTTTTTTTAATTCGATATTTTTAAATAGTATCGGCTACACACTACTTCAGATGACTTTTGAACATCTATAAAGCATTTGCATGGCTCATAAAGCTCATATTTATTAACTGCATATTTCACAAGCTGACCTCAAAGACTTTGAGTCCTCTGATAAATATTACATTTATTTAATACCAGTACATGGGTGCATACAGTTAGATACATCAGTACATTGCTTGCTGTAAAGGATTTACACAATTGTGTAACATTTATAGGTTCTGATGATCAGTTGACCCGAAATTAAACAAGGAAGACTTCAATTCAACTCTCTGTGTAGGTTCCTCAGGCAAGAACATTCATTAATTTCTTTTGTTAGCCGATCACTGGTTCTCAGTGACACATAGATCCAGATAAAGTGTGTTTACAACAGATTAATGACTATAAAATTCACTTTCAGTGTCTACGTCCCCCTCATTCATCTTTCAAACTGTGCTCTATTGTATTGGGTAATAAGGACATTTTAATCAAGCAGTGTCTGAATGTCTTGAGTTTCAATCTGTGCTGAAGCTTATTGTAAAAACACTCTTATAATATTACCAAAAACATATCTCAGTGTAATACAGAAGTACAATGTCACATTATCACTATTGAGATGCATAGAAATCATAAACACTTTATTTTGCATTTACAGTGCCTCCTCCACTTGTTCTTGACTGTCTGTTTTAACTTCTTCTATCGAAGCTGCTTTCTGTCTCCGCTCCGCTTCTGTTATTGTCATTGGATGCAGTGGGAAAAATCCAGCCAATCCTACTCGGAGAAAACATGGATCAAAGTGTGAGGTATGTTGTGAACAGGTGACTTGCCTCTTGCTGTAATCATCACTAAACATTTTATTAAAGGAAATAATGAGTAAGAAATCTTTAGATTGATGCTCACCTAGAAGTTTGGCCACTGGTTTTGTCGTATGAGCCCCACATGCAATCCAGTACTTGATTCTTTCGTAATTGAAGGCGACAAGTTTTTCATTGTGTATGTTTGGGAGAGGGTCATATGAGCCCAGCTGCTCAATATATTTGCTGTCTCTGGCCCATTTATTATAAGCAGCCACAATGCGGTAGAAGGGTCTGTTAGTGGCACCTCCTAGTGCCAGCCTGATGACCACATGCCCACCATGATATTTTTTGAGCAGGAAAGAAGCTAAGACAAAGACATAATGCATAAACATAATGTAAATTTCACACTGGCAATGTTTAATGTCACAAACATGAGGCTTTAATTCAGAAGCAGTAAGACCTGGAGATCCTGGTGGCTACATTTTGGATGTCTTTCTTATTTGAAACGCACATTTAAACTTGAGAGGTCAGTTGTTCAAAAAGTTTAATCTGGATCAGAATGATCTGGATTTGTAATCCCATGTTTTGCTATCCAGGATCAGGTGATCCATCTTACTTTTCTACTGGTTTTTCAAAGCAAAATTGAATTGGATCACAGTGATCCATATACACACTTTTTCAGATGACTAAATCTGGATTATTAGTGCTCTACAGAGCCTCTAAAGGGACATGGTGATGGGAAAAAAATTAGAAAATATGCTTTCCCCCCCCAATGCTTTGTATTCCCTCAGGATTTTTTTGCATTGCATTTCTTTACTGTACTTAAGAGGTAGCCTAACGTTTACCTAATCGCTCTCTCTCTAATGTCTGTGTTTATGTAAATCTAATGGTCAGTGTATCTATTATTTAATATTGAAAGTAGAAAAATGAGAAAGCGGCTCCTTTTTCGTTTTTGACCAAATTTTTCTTTTTTGTTCAGGGGTAGAAAAATGAATAAACAGCTTGAATATTCGATTTCTACACGTGGGCGGGAATTATACGCCCCTTTCTGCTAATTGGTCACTAGGGCTGTGCAATTAATCAAATGCGACAGGGTCAGTAAAGCCTCTACTGTGATTAGTTCGTTAGATTAGCATTATCGCAGGCGAATCGTCTACGATTATGAACGCGATATTGCTTAGCTTGTCAGTGAACTACCTCCGTGTAGTAAATGCTGCTCCATCTGAAAGCATGTGATGGAGATTTACTACTAATCACAGTAATTGGCAGTAATGCGCGGCAGAATACTAGTCCTCACATAAGAAACACAGAACACATAAGAAAGCCCTGTCTAAGCTCTGCCACAGAACGTGTTGTGTCAAGCTATTCATTAGTCTGGTTGTTTGATGAGAAAAAGATTAAATGTAGTTGCAATAAAACTGTTTAAGAATCCGTACAACTGCAGTAGCAGAGGACTAGTATTCTGCCTCGCTGAACTGCAGAAGAACTGATGACGGCAGTTTGATCTTCGGCTGACCAATCAGCAGAAAGGGGCGTTTAATTCCCGCCCACGTGTAGAAATCGAATATTCAAGCTGTTTATTCATTTTTCTACCCCTGAACGAAAAATGAGCCGTTCTCATTTTTCTACTTTCAATATTAAATAAAAAATCAAATGACCAAAAGATGCACTGACCCCGGTCCGATAGCTGAAATCTGATCAGATTACTTCTGAACAACTGGCCCGAGATGTTGAGTGGAATCTTGTTAAATTAGGGAGTCGTCAAAAATTACTAATACTTAGAATAAATTGCATTAAACCTACTTACATAAATGGACCATGACTGATAGATACTCTGTTGAAGACAAAAGAGAGTAAGTCAATAGAAAATATTTATAAAACACCATACATGAGCGAATAAGGTACATAAAAATATGTCAGTCTTTATGAGAGCATGGAGTAGCGTTATATACCACATTTCGCGTAAAAAAACCCCCACATACCTTATAAATCCGGTAACTTCATGTAGATACGCCTGTAATATTATTCAATATAAGCTTAACGTGTATGTAATAGCGCTTAAAAACACAATTATCTGGAGACAGTCAACAACATGACATTCGTAAGGGCGCCGACATCTTTTTCTGCCGCACCGGAAAAGTGTTTATATTCTTCTTCTGTGGGATTTATTGGCGGGTCGCATACCAGCTTTTTAGCGTACCGCCATCTCCTGTGTTGGAGTGTGAAGTGATTTTAGTCTAAGTGTATATTACGATATCTATATTCTATTCTTAAGCCCCCAATTGCTCATGAATATTAAGTATGTTACGTCTGTACGTTCTAGCAACTTAACGTTATTTATATTCATGTTGCTACGTGTAAACAGTAGGTGTATAATATGATGAATTCAGCCACTAGGTGGTGGTTTTGTTCTATGAAGATCTGGTTTGTGTTAAGCTTTCAAACGACATTAATTAAAGGTCCAAGCACCTTCTTCTTTTATTATTCTTTTTCTGGCCTAAAAGTGTCTGGCTAGCCAAAACCGTATAGTCCTCCTAAGTGCCTCCTAATGACCTGATAACGACATTGCAACATTTTTCAAACAAAATCCTGCTGAACATGATGCTAAATGTAGCCGATACATTGTAATGTTGTACATATGCTTTATTTTAAGAATTTTATGTGCAAACATTCAGCACAGTATAAATATTTTCCATATAAATATTAATTTAACAATAATTTATTGTGCTCTCAGTGTAAACACAAGCATGCTATCATAACAAAAAAACATAAAAATAGTACACTCAGTAAATGTACAGTGCCAACAAAAACAAACATAAAAACCATCAACATAACTGACTGTTCTACAGCTGGTTAATGTGGTAGCACTGTAAATAGATCAGAAATTTGAATAAGAAATGTGATTATATATGACACCCTCTCATACCAAGAAAACAAATCTCTGCATTTCCTATATTGTAAGTCGCTTTGGATAAGCGTTTGTATTTATGTGGCATCGAGCAGGAAGCCCCGCCCACACCGTCAGCTATTGGACCGTAGTACAGCTTCTAATGTATATTAATGATCAAATATAGACGTAGAGAGGGTGAAAATCTGCTTTTAAATGACAAACCATAAACCATAAAAAACGTGCCCTCTATTGAAGCGTCACAGAAATTTATGCATATGCTGTGGAGTGCTTGGTATCATAGATAAGTGCTTTTGAGTTTCAAGTGACTGAGTTTTACAGAGATAGCCTACTTTATACATTGTTCTCCCCGCCCACACCGTCAGCTATTGGACCGAAGTACAGCTTCTAATATATATTAATTATCAAATATGGACGTAGAGAGGGTGAAAATCTGCTTTTAAATGACAAACCATAAACCATAAAAAACGTGCCCTCTATTGAAGCGTCACAGAAATGTATGCATATGCTGTGGAGTGCTTGGTATCATAGATAAGTGCTTTTGAGTTTCAAGTGACTGAGTTTTACAGAGATAGCCTACTTTATACATTGTTCTTGTGCAATGTAAATATTATGAACTGAGATTCTTGACAATCATTTTACTTGAAATACTCTAAATAATCTGACACCAACCCAGTAAATGCATGTACAATTATGTTGGTTTCCTGAGATTATAATGTCTGAATTCTTTTAAAAATGTTCTGTTCATCAGACATCCACCACTTCAGTTGCTCTGGTCTTTATCTGTAGCAGAGAGAAAAAAAATGTGATTAAAAAAGAATCAATCTAACAACGACCAATACATGTTATGTTCCTTTTCCAATTTATTAAATGATATGCACAATTGCTCATCCTACCGTACAGGTGTATTTTCATGGTATGAGCTGAAAGACCCAGGTGCTGAATCTTCTGTGACTGAAAAATTTTGATGCCCATAACCTCTGTCTATGGATCCTGAAATAATATAGTTAATATTTTCAGTTACCAATAGTTTGAGAGTTTCATCTACTGATGCTGAAGTATATTTACTAAAGCAGTTGCAAAGCTAGACATCGTACCTCTTGATGTAAAATCAAAGAAGTCATCGTCAAAAAGTGAAAACCTCCTTTTGCTTGATGTTCTGCTGAAATTAGATCATGGTGTTATTTGTTTGTTTTGATGTTTTGGTCTTTGAATAAGTCACAGAAACAGTTATACAGACCTCTTGGCTCTGTAGAGCACCACAATCATCACAGCCAAGACAATAAGTAGAGCAAAAGCTGCTAAACAGCCGAAGAGAACAGCCGAAGATTTATTTCATAGATTTTTAAATGAATCGGAGTCATAAAAGATTTTTTCCAGGGTGGGTCCCAAATCGTTATTTAGAAACATTATTTGCGAGTTGTTGCTGGGATAGTTATATACTGCAATACTTTCAGCAAGGACACTTCCTCGCCTAAATGGGAAAAATACATGCCACATGTTAATATATCTTTTGCTTAGCAAATATTTGTAAATGTATGAAATTCGATGTTTTGGTCTTTGAATAAGTCACAGAAACAGTTATACAGACCTCTTGGCTCTGTAGAGCACCACAATCATCACAGCCAAGACAATGATAAGTAGAGCAAAAGCTGCTAAACAGCCGAAGAGAACAGCCGAAGATTTATTTCATAGATTTTTAAATGAATCGGAGTCATAAAAGATTTTTTCCAGGGTGGGTCCCAAATCGTTATTTAGAAACATTATTTGCGAGTTGTTGCTGGGATAGTTATATACTGCAATACTTTCAGCAAGGACACTTCCTCGCCTAAATGGGAAAAATACATGCCACATGTTAATATATCTTTTGCTTAGCAAATATTTGTAAATGTATGAAATTCAAGAAAAATCACCTTACATTAGCCTACGTATGTGCACATCTTTGAAATTTTGTGCGTCTGCTCTTTTACAAAGGATTGAAAGCTGTTAAAAAAAAAAGAAAAATCAAAAATTTTTTCATTTTTCATTTTACTTCAAAATTTGTATTTCTTAATATAAATATTTATACATAATACACTTTGCAAATATGCAAATAATAAATATAAATTATTACAAAATAAGTTTCACTGCCATCAAGGATTAATTTACATCTCCTGACTAAGATTAGTAATTAGAGTTAATGTATGCAATATTGCAGTAAATGCATTGATCTAATTTAACCTTTTTCTCTTGTGATAATTTTTAAAATACGTTTAAAGTGATCTAATCCAAATAACATTCATACATTTTAAAGTGTAGCTTAAGAGTCAGACTACTTTTGGGGCCAATGCAGTGAAATAATGGTAAGCAAATTTGTGAGCTTTAAAGTACCTCAAGAAAAGGAACTAGAAACACTTACCTCATGTTTTAAGGTGGAAATTAGTTTTTTTGAATCTGGTGAGTCCATATTTTCATACTCTGTAAGATAGTCCATCATAATTCTGAGAGAGATGCTTGCATTCCTTGTGGGTGTGCTTTCAGCTACAAATAAATCATAGATTTAAAAAGATTTCAACATAAGTGTGCTGCAAATTGTGACAAGTCTTTTGTAATGAAAAATTAAATAATGGATGTCTGTGTGTTGTATATCATATTAGCTTTACAACATAAGTACAAATGTTTTAGCTAAAACGTGACACAATCAACAATACAACTAACTTAAATTATGTCACACTTCACAAATTACTCATAAGTATCTTGGGTGCTAATTTAATATTGATTCAATACCCACAGCACAATGAAATAATTATTTAACACGAAGTGTAATAATGATCATTTGGAAAGATTTTTTAATGAAGTAAGGCCAGATTTAAGTTTTAGAATTAAATTCAAATTAAAAAACTTAATTTAACTTAACTAACCTCGTTCTCGCCATGAATATAGCCAAGGTAGCTCGCATGGCGTTAAATCATAAACAAACAAACAATAATAATGATAATTTAGGAATAGTATGATAAATACTCACACCAAAAAACTGTGGATAAGTCATATGCAAAATTGCAATACTCTCCAAAAGTGAAAGAATTGCATTGACACTGACATTTCCCAGATGTTACATTGAAGATGCATGGGGACCCATTACACTGACAATTCTCCAGACAGTTTTGAGTTGTTGAAACTGAGTTGAGAGTTGTTGCAGATGAATGAGGTTCTGTTGATGAAGATTTCTGGGTACTAGTTTGAGCAGAAGGGCTCGACTGGGATGATGTAGAAATGCTAAATGTTTGGGCTGTAACAGCTGGGGTTATTGTTTGAGGATTAGGGGAAGTTTGTCCTTCTGTTGTAGTAAATAGTGAAGATGGAGTTGTACTTATTCTGGATAATGTAGTTTCCAGTGTCGAACGACTTTCAAGTGTAGATGATGTGGTCGTGGTCATAGGGGACATAGCTGTTGTAAATGCTGATTGAGCTGTCATTGTAGATTCTGTTTCTCTAGTAGAAGTAAATTGAGTGGATTGTGTCTGCTGACTTGTTGATTGTTCTACACTAGATGAAGATATTTCTGTTATAGATGAGGTAAATTTTGATGTGGTTTGTCCTTCTGTTGTAGACGATGGTGATGATGAAGCTAAAGAAGTACTTCTCGATATTATAGTTTCAAGTGTAGACGATTCTAATGTTGACATGCTCGTAGGGGTTATAACTGTTGTAAATGTTGATTGAGCTGTTGTAGGTTCTGTTTCTGTGGAAGAAGTAAATTGAGTGGTTTGTGCCTGCTGGCTTGTTGTTTGCTCTACACTGGATGTGGGTATTTCTGTTGTTGATGAAATTAATTCTGATGTACTTTGTTGTGTCGTAGATGGTGAAAATGGAGAGGTACCTATTGTGGACAATGTAGTTTCCTCTGTTGTAACACTTTCAATTGTAGATGATTCTAATGTTGAAATGCTCGTAGGGATCATAACTGTTGTAAATGCTGATTGAGCTGTTGTAGGTTCAGTTTCAGTGGTAGAACTAAACTGAGTGGTTTGTGTTTGCTTGCTTGATGTTTGCTCTACACTGGAAGTAGGTATTTCTGCTGTTAATGAAGTGAATTCTGATGTACTTTGTCCTTCTGTTGTAGTAGACGGTAAGGATGAAGAGGTACCTATTGTGGATAATGTAGTTTCCAGTAGACGATGGTGATGATGAAGCTAAAGAAGTACTTCTAGATATTATAGTTTCCTCTGTTGTACCACTTTCAAGTGTAGATGATTCTAATGTTGACATGGTCGTAGGGATCATAACTGTTGTAAATGCTGATTGAGCTGTCCTTGTAGGTTCTGTTGCTGTGGTAGAGCTAAACTGAGTGGTTTGTGCCTGTTGGCATGTTGTTTGCTCTACACTGGAAGTAGGTATTTCTGTAGTTGAAGTGAATTCTGATGTACTTTGCTGTGTCGTAGTAGATGGTGAAAATGGAGAGATACCTATTGTGGATAATGTAGTTTCTTCTGTTGTATTTGCTGGCTTGTTGTTTGCTCTACGCTGGATGTAGGTATTTCTGCTGTTGATGAAATCAATTCTGATGTATTTTGTCCTTCTGTTGTAGTAGACGGTAAGGATGAAGAGGTACCTATTGTGGATAATGTAGTTTCCAGTGTTGAACCTCTTTCAAGTGTAGATGATTCTAATGTTGACATGCTCGTAGGGGTCATAACTGTTGTAAATGTTGATTGAGCTGTTGTAGGTTCTGTTTCTGTGGTAGAGCTAAACTGAGTGGTTTGTGTTTGCTGCCTTGTTACTTGCTCTACACTGGAAGTAGGTATTTCTGTAGTTGATGAAGTGAATTCTGATCTACTTTGCTGTGTCGTAGTAGATGGTGAAAATGGAGAGGTACCTATTGTGGATAATGTAGTTTCTTCTGTTGTAACACTGTCAATTGTAGATGATTCTAATGTCGACATGCTCGAAGGGGTCAAAATTGTTGTAGATGTTGATTGAGCTGTCCTTGTAGGATCTGCTTCTGTGGTAGAACTAAACTGGTTCAATTGTAGATGTTGAGCTGTCCTTGTAGGTTCTGCTTCTGTGGTAGAACTAAATTGAGTGGCTTGTGTCTGCTGGCTTGTGTTTTGCTCTGCACTGGATGTAGGTATTTCTGTTGTTGATGAAGTGAATTCTGATGTACTTTGTCCTTCTGTTGTAGTAGATGGTGAAGATGGAGAGGTACGTGTTGTGGATAATGTTGTTTCCAGTGTTGAACCACTTTCAAGTGTAGATGATTCTAATGTTGACATGCTCGTAGGGATCATAACTGTTGTAAATGCTGATTGAGCTGTCCTTGTAGGTTCTGTTTCTGTGGTAGAAGTAAACTGAGTGGTTTGTGCCTGCTGGCTCGTTGTTTGCTTTACACTGGATGTAGGTACTTCTGTTGTTGATGAAATGAATTCTGATGTACTTTGTTGTGTCGTAGATGGTGAAAATGGAGAGGGTCCTTCTGTTGTAGTAGATGGTGAAGATGGAGAGGTACGTGTTGTGGATAATGTAGTTTCCGGTGTTGAACCACTTTCAAGTGTAGATGATTCTAATGTTGACATGCTCGTAGGGGACATAGCTGTTGTATGTAACACTTTCAAGTGTAGGTGATTCTACTGTCGACATGCTCGTAAGGGTCAAAACTGTTGTAAATGTTGATTGAGCTGTCATTGTAGGTTCTGCTTCTGTGGTAGAACTAAACTGAGTAATTTGTGTTTGCTGGCTTGTTGTTTGCTCTACACTGGAAGTAGGTATTCCTGCTGTTGATGAAGTGAACTCTGATGTACTTTGTCCTTCTGTTGTAGTAGATGCTAAAGATGGAGAGGTACCGGTTGTGGATGTCATTTCCAGTGTTGAACCACTTTCAAGTGTAGATGATTCTATTGTGGACGTGCTCATAGCAGTCATAACTGTTGTAAATGCTGATTGAGCTGTTGTAGGTTCAGTTTCAGTGGTAGAACTAAACTGAGTGGTTTGTGTTTGCTTGCTTGATGTTTGCTCTACACTGGAAGTAGGTATTTCTGTTCTTGATGAAGTGATTTCTGATGTACTTTGTTGTCTCATAGTAGATGGTGAAAATGGAGAGGTACCTATTGTGGATAATGTAGTTTCCAGTGTTGAACCTCTTTCAAGTGTAGGTGATTCTAATGTCGACATGCTCGTAAGGGTCAAAACTGTTGTAAATGATGATTGAGCTGTCATTGTAGGTTCTGCTTCTGTGGTAGAACTAAACTGAGTAATTTGTGTTTGCTGGCTTGTTGTTTGCTCTACACTGGAAGTAGGTATTCCTGCTGTTGATGAAGTGAACTCTGATGTACTTTGTCCTTCTGTTGTAGTAGATGCTAAAGATGGAGAGGTACCGGTTGTGGATGTCATTTCCAGTGTTGAACCACTTTCAAGTGTAGATGATTCTATTGTGGACGTGCTCATAGCAGTCATAACTGTTGTAAATGCTGATTGAGCTGTTGTAGGTTCTGTTTCTGTGGTAGAACTAAACTGAGTGGTTTGTGTTTGCTGGCTTGTTGTTTGCTCTACACTGGAAGTAGGTATTTCTGCTGTTGATGAAATCAATTCTGATGTACTTTGTCCTTCTGTTGTAGTAGACGGTAAGGATGAAGAGGTACCTATTGTGGATAATGTAGTTTCCGGTGTTGAAGCACTTTCAAGTGTAGATGATTCTAATGTTGTCATGCTCGTAGGGGACATAGCTGTTGTAAATGTTGATTGAGCTGTCAATGTAGACAGATGCACTAGATTTATATAGATTCCTCATTAGCGACTGTTTCTATGGGCTGCTATACGTAAGCCGTCCGCTTTATTGTAATGGTCAACTTGACGTCATTCACCATAGTAACCAATGTCTATGTCAGATGCTATCAAAGTCCCTTTAAGGCATGTCACTCGGCAGCCATCTTTGAAACGCCTCTCAGGCATGCAAGTGCAGCTCCTATCACTTTGTATGGGGAAACATCAAATTCTCCCAAACTGTTCACTAAGCTTACGATTAATTTTCATATTTGAAATATGACCAATGAAACCAATGAAATCTGACAACAACTGTGTCATAAATGGTGTTTCTTTTGCTCAAATAGCGTTATAAAAAGCTTATTATTCAGGCTAGATCAGCCAGTGTGCATGTGCAGTCCTAAGCGCATGTCTTAGAATGCTACTGTTTCTATAGCAACCAGGATTTCTAATGGCAGCTGCAGTGACACGCTGACTTTACTGATCAGCGATTGGCTCTTTCATTCAGAAGGCGGTGCTTCTTGCAATTGAGCGGCCATATTTAGTGTTGCATTTCTCTCCATTCAAAACTATACGAGTGACACATCTTCAGTATTCTATAGTCTTTGATGCTACCAAGCTGCGCCTGTGGAAAGATACTGAAGTTTGCGTGTGCTTTTCTTTCTCTTGATAATTCAGGTATGTTTTCATAAAAAGTGAAAATGTGTGCCATCATGAATGTAAAAACATGCAAGTAAACATATGTCTTCGAAAGCGAATAGCTTGTTCACGAGTAGTCTTCAGGGCCAGCCCAAGCCTTTATGGGGCTCAGGGCTCTGAACCAGTTCAAGGAACGAAAATGAAAACCGGAAACAAACAAATTTTGACAGGAACAGAACCAGAAACAAAAACAAAATAAAATGTAATAGTTCTGCACAGAATCGAAAATTTGAAATGGCCATTAACCGGTTAATAACGTTATTTTATTGTTCCATTTAATATTTGAATTTTCCAGTCAACCAATCATGAATTCAAGTTGTGCGGCCTGACGCATCAAATGAGTGAAATGCCCGCGCTCAGCTGTGAACTCATCATAGGTTGCAATGGCAATGCACCGGCGCTTCTGTGAACGTAGAAAACAGAATAAAACTATAGGTTTACATACCCCCACCTGCAATTTAGGCCGCTGTGCCTATACAATAAATATATTTCACTTAAATCTTTGACAGATTAACAAAACGAAGGAAAAAAATGTTCATCCACAGTTCACGGAAAGGAAAACGAGACAGCAGAAAGTAGTTTTCTTTATTTTGCAAAAGTTTTACAGTTCCCTGTCGATACTTCACTCGTACTGCGTCTTGCTAAAGACGCTATGGGGAAAAAGCCTTTTTTCTCCTGAACTGAAGCCTTTTTCAATCATGCAGTGAACCTGCACGGCCATTGGTTCGTGGAGTGTATTAAAAACGAACCAATGGCTCTGCAGCGGAGCTGCACAAGCCTATGGCGACAAAGCCCGCCAGAGCCCGCCAGAATGGGCGGGGCCATCTGGCTATATAAGCGGGTGTTCGCCACAGGATTCTCAGATTTCTTCTCCTTCAGAGACGACTCTACGCTCTACGCTGATCCCGAAGCCTGTTCACCGTTAACACGCCTCGCAGCTGGACTGAGACCTCTTTGCTCGGCTGATCCGCTTTCTTCGCCGCCTCAGCGTCGCAGCAGTTCCGGTCCTGTTCCCCTGCCGCCATCTGGCGATTCTAAAAGAGCTTACTAAAAGAACTTGGCATTGTTGCAAATGCCACGCCGTTACTGCAGTTCGTGCAGGTCTTCCCTGCACGCCGATGATGGCCACGCTGAGTGCGTTTCCTTCTTGGGGAAATACCACGCAGAAGCTGCGCTCACGGGAACTGATTGTTCTCACTGCGAGAACTTCAGTCTCGCCTCTCTACGCTCACGGATCGCTTTCTTTTCAGAGAGTGACTCCGCCCCTCGCGCCCTCCCGTTTTCTTCCTCCCAGGGACCTGTGAGGAAAAAACAGTGGGGCAGAGGACTCGAGCGTCCAGCTGCGAGCAAGCTCAAGTCAGCCCAGATCCCGCGTGCCTCGCCCTCGCCTCAGAGAGAGGTTTCACTCGTCCTCTTCTCCCAGCCTGACCAGCATCCCTCTGCCAGTGTGAGCGATCTGGTCTCGTTTGGGGGTAGTGAAGACGAGCTGTCCGATGACAGCATGTCATTGACAGCCTCGGATGCAGAGGAGCTGTTGGGCTCGGTTACCGACCCCGCCCCCTTGCCGTCATCTGCACCCAGCGCCGCCAAAGTCCGGAATGGATGCCGAACTTCTCCGTATCCTCTCAAAAGCAGTTGAAGAGCTGGGTTTGGAGTGGTCTCCACCGGAGGAGCCCTCTCGCAGCCGTCTGGCCGAGTGTTTCCTGCCGGGACGCCGTTAGGCCCCTCGTCAGCGTTCCTCTCCATTCTTCCCGGAGGTCCACGACGAGCTCACCAGATCATGGCGCGCTCCCTACTCTGC